TAGTGTTGTTAAACGGCTCGTTAGCCGATTTTTAAAAACGGCTAACTCAATATTTTAGCCAGAAAAATATAGCCTAAGCCTTGAGATTTCGATAATATATATGGACCTTTGTTCCTTCTATGAGCAAAATCTTCAGGCTTGCGTAATATTTTTCTAAGTAAAGTATTGAGTTAGCCGTTTTTAAAAATCGGCTCAAAACGAGCCGTTTAACAACACTATGTGTCATTGCTATTGAATTTAGGTTCTTTTATTATTATCGCCTAGTTTTACTAATGATAATAAAAGTCAGTCTACGTACACGGGCACTCTATTCCATTAACAAATCCTCCCAAACCGCTGAACCTCTCGCCTCTTATACATCTAAGCTAGTTAGTATATATTGCTATGCTTGTATCGATAATGAGAAGCTAAAAACTATCCACGATCTTACATAAATGTAAATTTTATGAAAATGTTAACACTGAATCAAAATAAATATCTCTTATTTAATTTTTTTGTTTATACAAATAGTGTATATTCTTACTTTGTTACTACCCCCTTAACTTGCACTCGTTTATACTTACTTTGCACTCGTTTATACTTACTTCCTGCCTTATTCAAAATATGGGAGACGAGTGGCTCCACCTATCCCTAACCTCTTCCCATCAAACATTCTAACGTAGACGCTGGACTAATACAATTCAATTTGTAATTTTTGATAGTTGAATATATTCCAAAGGGGTATTCGATGAGGATATTCAAATATTTTTTTATTAAAGATTCAAAAATTGATTGGCATAAAAAAAAATTAATATAAAAGTATTATATAAGTAAATATATATCCTTGATATAATAAGTTAGAACTAAACATGATAACTAACTAAACTTGTAATGTCTATTAAGACCAGAAATTCTTTCCAACATTTCTTAAAAAATTATTTTTTTTCCTGCATTTTACTAAATTCAATTATATATATAGTACTAGATTGGCTATCTATTTATTTAAAGTATAGTAGCTGTATCACCATTTTGCTGTTTGAACGTCTACTAATTTCCTTTGTTTATAACTATATGAATGCACATTTATGTCCTATTATAAATGTAACACAATTTAAATAGCATATCTAGTATTAGTATATACACAACTGATTCGAATGTAACGTAAAGCAAATATTTGTTGAATAATTTCAAACTAGTGATTCATTAAAAAGTCCTCATACATCTCTGTTCATTATTTAAAAAAGTATTTAGACGAGTATGAAAAATATTTAAACATTTACTATAAATGTCTTCAATTTAATAATTGTTAAAACCCGATTTGGGTCAATTTTTAAAAATTTACATTTGGGATTTTTAACAACACTCATCAGTTAGGTTAGTACAATGAGGTGTATATACTACTAGATGGCTATTCATACATTAAAAGATGTACATACATGGATTCAACTGTTGTGTAGCATCATCTTGTGGTTTGCGCGTAGATAAATTATATCATAGAATATATCTTTATATTTCAGCCCGACATGTAACTAGTATATTATATTTTTATTTTTTAATAGAAAATCATTTTATTTTAATAAAGAATATTAATATAAAAAATAAGCATTATTAACATAATGGATAAGAGGATTAGTCGACGTGAATCAAAAACGCTGCAGCTGACTTCTATGTATGTACACTTTAATTAATGAATCACCAATCTAGTAGTATATATATACTTTTAGCGTTGTTTAACGGCTCAATTTGAGTCTATTTTTAACGGCTAATGTTAAATTTTATACAGAAAAATAATATACAAGCTTTAATGCTCATTGATGGTACAAAGATTTGGACATCAAATAAAGAATAGAGCTTAAGTAAAAAATTTCTGGCTAAAATATTGAGTTTGCCTTTTTAAAAATGGGCTCAAATCGAGCCGTTTAACACTATAGAATGCATCATTATTAAGCCATGGTTGATTCTCACTTATTTATTATTTACAACCTTTTACATTTATTTTTAAGAACTCATTTGATAAAATAATCACTTTTAACAGATTTATAATTTCTAAAAAGAGCTAACTGATTATTATTATTATATTATAAAAATTATAATTATTTTTCTGATTCAATGATCTTTTTTGTTTTAACTTTTTTAAAGAATAAAAAGAGAATAATATGATTAAAAATTATTGTATCGCCATTATTTAATAATTTAAGATATTTAAAATAAGTAAAATTTTAATAATTTTACCTCTTATTCACGGTGCACGCTTAATAGCCTTAAACAAAAAAAATGGCGGCATTCGCCCAATCGCTGTTGGCTCTATTTTCCGCCGAATTATATCTAAAATTATTTGTACCCGCATTAAAAGCAAGCTCACCGAGCGATTAATTCCCCATCAGCTTGGCTTCAACATACCTTCCGGTTGTGAGGCAGCCTCCCACGCCACACGTATCCAACTTCACTCCACTAAAAACTGCATACTAAAAGTGGATTTTAAAAACGCCTTTAACTCTTTAAAACGAGAACACTTTCTCCCTATTTTCTGTGACGCTTTTCCAGAATATTCTCCATATCTTTTTGCCTCTTATAACAATTCATCCTACCTTAAATTCAACAATACAATAATTGAATCAAGGCAAGGCATTCAACAGGGTGATCCCCTTGGACCCGCACTTTTTTGCTTAAGTATCCAACCGATCATTGAATCGATAAATCGTGAGACAAATTTGACCCTCAATGTTTGGTATTTGGATGATGGAACCCTTGCTGGTCCATATGATGAACTCCTAAAAATAGCGCCTATAATAAATAATCTAACCAATATTACAGGGTTGTCTCTAAATAACAACAAATGTGAATTTTATTCACCAGATGAAACCTTCATCGTTCCTCATAACTTCACACCCATTAATTTATCCGAGTTCACACATCTTGGATCTCCAATAGGCGGCAATAAAGCAATCGAACATTTCAAAACAAAATTTCTCCGTAATTTCTACCTTTTACATAAAATCCTTCAAGTCCTTCCCTCCCATCAAGCTTTCTTCCTTCTCAAAAACTTTTTCTTTATCCCAAAAATCCAACACGCCTTCCGCTCTGCCCCACTTTTCTTATACCCGGAAATTCTCACCCAAATTGAATCAACAATCAAAGACTCTTTAGAAGGCATCCTTAATATAAAATTCAGCCCTAATTCTTGGATGCAGGCCTCCTTACCCTCGAAATTTGGGGGTCTTGGCTTAAGATCACCCGTGTCACTCAGCCTTGCTGCTTTTTTAGCCTCAGAATCAAGCTCCCGCTTAGTCATGCTATCACTTAACAATAATCGCACAGACCCCCACTTTCTCCACGCCTTAGCAATCTGGAAAGAGAATTCCTTCTCCGCTCCAATCCCCACATCACGAAAGCAACATGACTGGGATCTTCCCTTAATACGCCACTCCGTTGAATATTTAATATCGAGTGCTGCTTCTAAGGGATCCCCATCAATCCTTTCACATTTATTATCTCCCATTACAGTTGATGAATCCTTAACAGTTGATCATCTCTCTCTCCCACAACTGCAAGTTCCACAACTTTTGCCTTCCTTATCGGGCTATGAATGGTTAGAAGCTTTGCCCAGCTCAAACTTAGGATTCTCTTAACAAACGAAGAATTACGCATAGCAATAGGTTTCCATCTTGGTTGTAATATACTGGCCAACTCCACATGTACATTATGTTCCCAACCCGTTGATTGTTTTGGACACCATCCTCTTCATTGTCGATTCTCTAAAGGTAGATATTCTCGACACAGTGCAGTTAATGGCACCATTCTCCGTGCTTTACGCTCATCTCAAATTCCAGCAACCCTCGAACCCTGTGGCCTCTCAACCGAGAGTAATATACGTCCAGATGGGCTGACATTAATACCATGGAGTAATGGAATTCCATTAGCATGGGACTATACCTGCATCGACCGATTTGCTCCCTCCTTTAATAAGAACTCATTCATGCGAGCTGAAAACTCGAAAATTAATAAATACACTTCCCTAACAAATTGCAATCTCATACCAATCGTATCCGACACAACGGGGTCTTTTGGCAATCATGCCCTAACCTTCTTCAAAACCCTCGGTAAAAAAATCTGCGCCATCACTGGTGATCCTCAGGAAGGCTTCTATCTCAGACAGCGCATATCTATTGATATATGCAGATCTAACTGCATTGCCATCCATGGCTCTCTTTCTTGACCTCCTCCCACCCAACATACAATTTACTATTCTAATTATTTTATTTTTTTTATTATACAGTTTTTTATATAGATTTTATATTTTACATGACATTTTTAATATATATATTTTTTTAAATTACGTATATATGTTTTACTTTAAAAAAAATAAAAATAAATAAAATCAAAAGGTTAAGTTATAAAACGAAAAGCAAAACTAAAAATAAAAGTATAATTTGTACAATTTGAAAAAAAAAAAATTTTCTATATTGGAAATTCTTTATCATCTCATCTTTCGTTTCTTCGATGTAGTGTTGTTAAAAGACTAGATTATTTTAAACGGCCCGCCCAAGATTTTAGCCTTATAGCGTAAGCCTTGAGATCTGGCAAATAGAGGCCCTATCCTTTCTGACTATTATGAGTAAAATTTACATGTATCCTTAATATTATATAGGTTAAAATCTTATCTAAAAATAGCCTTCCGATTAGGCCATTTAACTACGATGAATTTTACAATTTTTTTTCTTCATAAATTGTGTAATCAGGAATGTATTAATTTAAGTATAAAGACATGTACTATTATTAGTATGCCAATTTTCTATTACAGAGTACGTTTTGATATTACTATGACTTTTCTTCGTAATGAAATAATTAAAAGTGCAAATATTTTAGCAATGTCATGTATATCTTGAATCCATATATTTATTCAAAATAATAAGTATATAACTCAATATCTCACCAAAGTAATTAATATTCTTGTTCAATTTTAAATATAATAAAATTTACCAGATGTTTTATGTATTTTACATTTTTAGTGGATAGTTTTTTAATATTCAAAAATTCTATTCACAAAGGAAAAAATAACGTGATTATGCCAAATTTTTATGCTTAGGTATCATTGATTATTCGTATAGAGGGCTGTAATCTCTGACATTAGATGAACGACAAAGGAAAAGGATTTGAATTTTATTCAAATAAAATTAATAATGTAAGCATTTTTTATTTTAAAAATGATGACCTTGAATTTATACATCATGCTTTTAGAATGGTAAAAGAGCTCATCACAATGCATTGGAAAGAAGAAGGAGAGATCACATAAAAGAGAGTTTTTATGGATTAAGAGATGTTGTTCCCATTATTCATAAATCAAAAGTAAAATGATTCACTCATTTGTATATTTATATTTGAGTCATTTAGATTTCAAGAGCACAAATACTCAAAAAAGCCACTGAATATTTGCAAGCTCTTATATCCCAAAATAAGTCTGATCAAACAGATATTGAAGAGATGTTAAAACAAAATAAAGTATTAGAACAAAAAAGTAATTTTCCAATTATAAATATATATTGTGAATATTATATGGTTAAGTTTTTTTATGAAAGGCATCTTTAATAATGAAAATAGCACCCAAAATATCTCTTTTGTAAGTTTCAAAATTTACGAGATCATTTAATGAGAGGCTTCCTTTAAAGTCATGTGGTAAGGATGGGGGGGGGGAGGGGGTGGATGGTATTGTTTTAATTAAAAAATTGCAGAATTTGGCGTTCCTCGCTCCAAATACATTAGTGAGGATTAAGCAAAATACTTTCCTAACATTTATGCCCGAGTATTTTGTAGTTTTTAATGGATTATATTGAAAGTATCTACCCTTAAACTGATCTGTAGGGCTTGCTATAATCTTATTTTTTTTTAAATAAAAAAGAATAAGAATTTTATGGGTCCAATATTTATAATGTTATAGTAGCAAACTCAATTATGTTTGTTTATCCTTAGGCCAGAACCAAAATGTTTATTTTAATTCTGAGCTTCTTGACCCACACAAATTTTGTTTGGTGACAAGTGTTGTTAAACGGCTCATTTTGAGCCTATTTTTAAAAAATGGCTAACTCAATATTTTAAACAGAATAATATTGCCTAATCAATTTTTCTTTATTAAAACCAATATTTCTTAGGTTATTATCATGTATAGAATTAAAGACAAAATTAATATTATTACAAAAAAATTGATCTCATAAACAGATTTCAAAAATTGATCAGCTGTTGAATCGTGTCGGATCGGATCCACTATGAATGCGGCCTAAGCCTTGAGATTTGGCTAATTGATGTCCAGACCCTTGTGTAATCTATGAGCAAAATCTTCAGGCTTGCGTAATATTATTGTGGATAAAATATTGAATTTTTAAAAATTGGCTCAAATCGAGCCATTTAACAACACTAGGTGCCTTCCTTCCTTCCTTCCTCCCTTCCTTCCTTCCTTCCTTCCTTCCTTCCTTCCTTCCTTCCTTCCTTCCTTCCTTCCTTCCTTACATGTGAGAAAAAAAAACATTTTTTTAAATATTTTTCAAGTTTTGCCTGATTTATGAAAATTGCATGTCCTAATATAAGGCCCAAATAATTACATTTTATTTATTAATTCATTTGATACTTAAATGCCTCGTAATAAAAATATATTTCATTTTAAATATATCAATTTTTATACACATATCAATTTGTAGACAAACTATTATAAATTAATTTATTTTATTTAGAGGCAAAAAATATTAGCCTTAATTCAAATTGGATTATTTATAAAAAAAACATATTGACCTCCCATTTGTAAATATTAAAAATATTAATTTTGTTATTATAGACCATTATTTAAATTTAAATAAATCATTTTCATTATTGTAAAAATTATTTTTTCCCCCTGAATTTATAGTAAAATTAATATACTAAAAAAAATAATTTTAAAAATATTTCTTTCTTTTCTTTCTTTCTTTCTTTCTTTCTTTCTTTCTTTCTTTCTTTCTTTCTTTCTTTCTTTCTTTCTTTCTTTCTTTCTTTCTTTCTTTCTTTCTTTCCTTCCTTCTTTCTTTCTTTCCTTCTTTCCTTCTATCTTTCTTTCTAATAATTGATATCAACTAAATTTTTTACTAAATCTCATGATCATTTGAATAAATAAATTTATCTTAAAATATTAATTTTCAAACTTCAGATCTTTCGTAAATTATTGCACAGATGTTCAAAAGTCGATTTAGCACAATCCGGGCTTCATTTAAAGCCGTAGTGTTTGTTAAAAGGCTCGATTTTAGCCGGTTTTTAAAAAAAGGCTAACTCAATATTTTAAACCAGAAAAATATTACGCAAGCCTGGAGTTTTTTTTACTTATAGATAGCCACAAAGATTTAGACATTTATCAGGAAAATCTCTAGGCTTAGACAAAATTCTTATGAAGTCACAAAAATTGACTCAGTGACTCAAAATTCTGACCTGCTTCATGAGGATTTGCTCAATTTTTTTCTACTTGTGATTGGGTCTGACTGGACAAATAATCTAATTGTGACGAATAGTAAATAACTTGTTTATTCGAATAATTCCTTTTAAAATCGAATAATTGCAGAGTTGTTAAAGAATCTAGATATAAAAATATGGTATCTATATCTAGATAGATTTTTGATTAAAGTATCTGTATCTAGATATTATTTTAGAGGTATCTGTATCTGTTTTTAGATGCTTTTTAATATACATTTTGATATACTTCTATTTAACGCTTTTTTATATTATAAATAAAAATACTTGAATGTAAAATTTATTTTATTTCATATGAGCATATAACTTAATATTAATATATATATTAAAAAATTATATATATATGTAAAATATTAAAACTTGTATATAAAAAAAGAATATATAAATATTAATTAAATATTATGTCCGAGTTATCAATAACAAGCAAAATTCTGATATTACAATCCATCTCAAGGAATTTGCCATTTTTAATTGCAATGGAATTGATATTTTATTCTATTTATATTAATTATTATATTAATTTTTAAGATTAATATTGATGACGAAAATGACGACATTCTTCCATGGCCAATTTATAGACCATATTTTAAAATTATAACTCAAAATAAAGAAAACACATCTCTGTTAGTAAAATGTTTGCCATGTCTACCAAGAAATATGCTAATTTTAGTTAGCATTACCTCAAATTGCAACATTGTAAAACATTTAAGGGTATAGATACTAAATATATGTTTACAATTTTAATTTTTAAGAGAAAACATCAAATACTCTTAATCCTAATAAAAAAGGGCAAGGAGAAAAAATCTATTAAAGAAAATATTGGACTTGGCTCATCACCCATTGATTTTTTTTACAAGTCAGACTTTAACCCAAACCACTTTAGATGATTTAATAACTGATTTTAATATAGATAGCTTTCAGCCATTTTCAATTGTTGAAAATCCTTCATTTATAAAAATGATCAAAACATTAGCTTCCACAAAAAAAAATAATTTGCCGACAGACAGTGGTTCTTACTGAAATCTAATAATTATTTATAATCATATATTATATTATTTTATTAATGATATATAATAATTATTTATATTAATCATATATTATATTAATATCATTATAGTTATATTTTGATAAATGTGATATCTAGTCAATAAATTTTTTAGATCATTTCATGAATTTTCACAATAGAATCCCAATTTAGGTTTATTCAAACCTTATCTAAGAGTATAATAAAAAAATGTATCTGTACATAGATACATTTTAAATTGTATCTGTATCAAGATAACATTTTAGAAGCTGTATCTATATCTAGATAAATTTTTTGACGATGTATCTGTATTGTATCTAGATCCATTTAAAAAGTATCTTTTAACAACTCCGAATAATTGGATTGGATATTCGAATTATTTTGGAATTTTGTCATTTCTTTTAATAGCCTTATCAATCTCACAAGTGACCAGATTAGCCAGGTAAACATATAAGGTTTGCTATGGGCGGGTTTTAGCCAACAAGTCCGCTCACTAGTTTTATTTTACTTGTCCATCCATTGTTTTTTTTTTAAAATTTACCCATGTTTAAAAACTATTTTAATGAACTTTTTTTTTTATATTTATTTTAATCTATTTTTTTGCCTTTTTAATTTATTTTGATGTAATTTTTTTTTTAAATTAAACTTTTTCATATTATTTTTTTTAAAAGAAAAGTGAATTTTTTTATATAATAAATAGAAGTCTGTTCTGCTCATTTTGCCCATAAAAGTATCTTTTAATCCGCCCGCTACCCGTCCAGTGTATAAAATATTTTAGACCACCCGGAGAATGGACAAGGCGGGCTAAGATAAATTTTCTCCTAAACTTTATCTTTTCTGTACAAAAAAAAATGAGTATAAATTGCAAGTAGACAAAATGGTTTATACCAAAATTGCCTGTAATACAATTGGTATAGGTATTCTAGTGCTATGCTGGAATACATATCCGATCTTTGATAGACAAACAATGTTATAAAATGCGACTGTCCATAAGATGTTCCTCCATGTTGTAATTATCGCTTAACAGCTGAAAAAAATAATAGCTTTCGAGTTCTACGTGGGTTTAGAGGTCCACTAAGGGACCATTTCTCGGGCCCGGTCTGGTTGGATTTTACTTAAGGTTGACTACCGTCTCATCTTATTTTTTTGAATTGCAAAGCCTAAACGAAAATGTATGTTGTTGAACACCAAAAATAAACTACCACTTATAATCTTGGGGGGTTGTTAAATATTATCCCCGGCCCAATCAGACCCAGCTCTCTAATATAGGTTTAATATTGTATTATTTTATATGTTAATATAATAAAATTTTATAAAAATTTAATTTGCAAATTAAAAAAAAAGTAATGTATATGCAAAAAATGAAATATTTCGAGAACAATCCCAAGTCCGATCCCGTCAACGCCTCCGACACGAACGACGATGACCAGGGCGACCATCCTCCCGTGACCTTGTCGAAATGTAGCATTCCGGACGAACACTCCTATTCGGAACTGTGAAAAAAAAAATTTTAAAAATGGCGAAATCCTTAATTCCTAAATATCGACAACCTTTTTCACGCGAAATATGTAAATTAGATGATTCGTTAAAAGAATTCCGATTATATATATATATTTATTTAAAGAAAAAATCCCCTCCCCCCTTCTCAACCCGTTCCTATTTGCAATTAAGTTTTTACCTAACCCTATTTTATTTATGCATCTTTTATTTTTAAAAATATACAATTATGCAATATAAAAGTCAAAAACAGGCAAACTTAAATATATATTATTTATATAAATATTTACAAAATATTTTTTTATTTATTAAGAAAATGCAATTTATTTTTCTTTATTAACATTTAAATTTTTAAAAAAAAAACACAAATCTCCTTCCTTTCCCTCTTCAAAATGATAATTCCTTATTATTTTTATACGTGTGAGAAGCCATTTTTTTTTTTGAAAAATTCAAATAAAAAGGGAAGTTTTCTGTTCCCTTTTTCCGTTGGAATGAAAGGGTATATTAATACCAAAAATCTTATGCACATCATTTACCATCATAAGTTATATTTATATATATTATTTCAACATTAATATATTTGCCCCCCTCAACCTCCACCAAATCGCATAATTATTTATTTGTCCTAAAAAAGACGTGTATTTATATTTATATTTATATGTTTTTTATTTAATATTTTTATGAATCTACTTTTATTATTATTATTATTATTATATTATAGTATAAAAAAAATAAAATAAAGTGAAAAATGAACTATACAATTAAAGTAACGTTTTGCACTAATAAATTGTAACGGTTATCTCGGAAATAAAATTTTCCTGAACCCATTACATCTTATCGTGTCATAGATCGCAGACAACTGGTGAAAAATCATTTCTACGGATCAGGCTTAAGTCTGTGTTCTTCCTTTATGAAATATGGATAAGAACTGAGCCAGAAATTTGTAAAAAATAAAATCTTTTATAGGCTTAAGAATCTTTCGGCTTCCCAAATGTATTCATAACACTTAAGCTATTTGAAAACGTTTTTTTAAATATAGTTTCATTTTCTTTTGAAATTAAGGGAGGTTGAAATTGTCGCATAACCAAGAAACCCAAATTAATGGGATGAATATAAAATTGTATTTTTATAATGGAATATTAGAAAATCATAGTAAAAAATAGTAGTTGGTTTATTATGCCTAAATTATGCACTAAACGATAGCCATCATAGTTGACCGCCAATTTTGATATGGAACACATTTAAGGGAAGAGGGGATAAAAGGAATTGATTATAATGGGAGTATTTGAATTAGCAATGTCACTTACATAAAACAAGGGTTTGTGGACAAAGTTGGGTAATAACCGCGAATAATTTCTGTACAAAGAATATACCAATATAATACTTTTAATGAATGAGCCGGCCAAATAATTTTTATTTTAAAAAAAAACGCACACATGTTAGGTTGAGAGAGGGTCTTTGCAAGTTAGCGTAGGCGAAAACCACTCCGGAACGGCTAATTTTTTTTATTCCATATCGAGTAGAAAATGATTAAATTTTTTTAAAATTTGCCACCATCTTTTATTTATTATCGCATTTTTACTAATTTATTTATAAAGTCATAAAAAAAATTATGTTCTTTTTTGTAAATATTATATACGAAATAACAACGCCCAACTTTTCATTGGACAATTTTAATCTTAACAACTTTCATAATAAAATGAAAAAACATATGATAAAAATTAATATAATTAAAATATCGTCGTAAAAATTATGTCGGTTTTCCAATCGTATCAAATTTTAGCATCTGGTTACTGTATTCAGTATAAGATGGGGTCGTTGGTTCTCGTCGAATTTTTCTCGGGGAAGAGTCGGCAGAATTTTTACCTCGAAAATGCTGAACAGTCTCTGTTACGATGTTAATTATATTGAAAAAAGTATCATTAGATGCTAAGTAGTAAATTATATTCTGATCATTTGCTTATTCAATTAATAACTACAAGGATGTAAATAAAATACTGGTGAAAAAAAATACGCTTACTCCCTAGTTCCCTCTTACTGTCAAAAACATAGACAAGGAAAATCAAATCTCATATAAAAAATACAAAAATATTTCCTTGATATATATATATAGGTACCATATGTTCGGTCCGGCCCTGATTTTTTAAAGAATATATTTTATTTATTTTTGATTTTCATAGCTAATAATGTCAATTTCAAATATTTGGTTTTAAAATATAGGCCCAGTCCATATATATTTAAAAAAATTAAAATACGGCCATATACCTATTTTTTGAATAATTTTTAAGACTTTATTATATGATGAATATTGTAATTCGTATAAAATCTTGGTTATTTTATATGTATATATATTTGATAGCATTATGCTTGGATATGAATGATTTTATTAGTGTTTAAAAGATAATGTTATATTTTTTAATCACAAGGGTAGTGGGGATGGATAATAAAATTAAAGAAAGAATAGGCAAATCATTATAACTTAAATTTTTAAACAAAAAAAATCATCTTCTCATAAAATAAAACTCCATTTTTGAACAAAATGAGGCGAGATATAAATGAATGTGATAAAATTAAACAAATTTCATGGTACATTAAAAAAAATTGCAATAAAAAAAAATATTTGGTAGATTAAATTTTAAGATTGTAAAGTAATAAAAAAAATTTTTGAAAATAAAGATAAAAAACGAGTATCTTTTATTCCCCTAAAAGATTGTTTTTGCTTCCTTTAAAAAAAATAGTTTGTTTTTTTTCCATCACAAGTCAATAACCATATATATATATCCAAATATTATTAAAATGCAACTCTACTATCTCTTAAGTTTGATACATAATTGCTTTTTTTTGAAAAATAAGTCAGCATTAGACGTAACCCGGGTAACCATCACAGAATCAGAAATCTTAGACCCCCTATTTAAAATTTGTAAGGAATTTGGATTCCATTTTTAGTATTTCTAAGTAACCTTGTTGTAAAACAAAAGAGAAAGTCAATTTAATTTTATTTTTAAAAAATGTATTAAACCCCCCCCCCTACCACTGGAATAATGCAAAATCTATGAGAACCAATCCTTTTTTTTTTCAAATTAAAAAATTATATAGAAACCAGAGCAAATTTTTTTTTTGTCAAAATCCCAAACTTATTGTTATGAAGAAAAAAAATGATCTAAATTTAAGCATTTCTTTTTAAATTTGCCAGATCAAAATTAAATGTATTAAAAAAAATATAATACATCGATTTTATAGTTATAACCGACCCCTTTCATTTTCACGCTAGGCTAAAAATATAACCCCCTTTTTTCGGAAGGGGGGGGGTTACTTTTTCTACGATAATACAAAATTTAACCCACCTTTTAAAAGCTTATTTGTAATATTATTTATTTTTTTACTTAAGCTTTCAAAATGATATCATTTTAGATATGAAAATGAAAAATTGGTTATTTATATTCCATCTCTTTGGGAAAAAAAAATCTTGAAAAAAAATAAGTCATAACTAGTGGTTGTTAAAAGGCTCGATTTTTAGCCTTTTTTTAAAAACGGTTAACTAGGATATATTATTTCAGTAAAAATATCACGCAATCCTGAAAATTTTACCGATAGATGGAGGTTTGGACATCTATAAATTGCGGAATTTGAAGAATGTAAATGAATGTTTAGAATACGATTTGAAAGTTAGCAAATAGGGATTAAAATGAAAATATGAGAATACGAATACGACAATGACACAGATATAAGCATCTAATAATCGATGCTAATTATCTTTAAATATTCTGGATCTACAATAGAAGTTATATGAAATATATCGGTCAAATGAAGCAAGGGCCGAAATCTCCAAGGCTTAGGGCTATATTTTTTAACTTTAGTCACGTGCATGAAAAGAAAAGAAAACCTATTTTAAAAAGGAAGGAAGGAAAAAGCAAACACAAACAAAATGTAGTCTGGTAAGATTAATCGCTAAAATATATGATATTTGAATAACAAAATATATGTATAAAAAACCGATAATTTGTTTACGCAAGAGCGAACATTAGCCTCCACGTGTGAACGAAGGAGTTGGTAATCGAACGGATCTATTAGCGAAGACAAGGCTACCTCTATTTTGCCAATCTAATGGTTAATTAAATACAAAATTATATATATCATAATTACGATAATATACCACTTTGCTCCAAGGGGAAATAATATGCCTAAAGATTTTGACCATAGCTGGGAGAAATGCTTGGAACATCTATTTGCCACAAACCTCGATGCTCACATAATAATATTTTAGCTAAAATTTTAATCGGTGCCGTTTTTTAAAAAAAATTGACCCAAAATCAGGAAATTTTTTTTTTTTAAAAAAATATTAACAAAATAAATTGAATCTTAATTTTCATTTCGTTAACTTTTTTATAATGAAATTTATTTATAAAAATAAATGTAAACAAACATAATAACCCAAGAATAATTTTTTTTAAATATCGGTTCGAACCGATATTCGTAAAAGGCCCGATCCGGTATTCGCTATCGGCATAGCCCCCCTTTGATTCTAAATAATCTTATAACTGGTGTCAAATATTTTAGGTTTTTAAGTATATATATATTTTTTTTTTGTGAGATTATGATGATTGCCGCGATTAAGATTACGCAATTTAGTACATAGGCTAAAAAGCCGCAACGCGAAATTTCCCGCTGATCATCTAAATCTTACTGTTTTTTAATTAAATTTATAGAATGTAAATTTTTTTTATTTCACCCTTTCGCTAGAGGACGTATCTTCACTCGAAGCGTAGGGATCGTGGGAATAATGATGCGCGGAATTTAAAAAACGCGACACTACCTGGAGATCGAACAAACATTGTAACGCGATATTTTGCGGAAATGTTTGGTGGGGGTTATCGGCCTTTGAATCCGGTAACGCTTTGCCGATAAAGCGTTCGTTTACCGATATGACGCGTGAGCGTAGCTCGCTTATATAAATCTTGAGCAGAGTTCTAAAGAGATATGACAAGATATCATGATTATAGAATTTGCCTTTGAGAAAATGATTCGAACCTTGAGAAACATTATATATATATACTTAGAATAAGAATGTCCGAAATGATTTAAGAGGCTCTGGTTAGCGGAATAGAGTAAAGCGTGAACGTAAAAACTGCAGGAAGCCGGTACAAACACGTGCGTCAATTGTCCCGTTTGAGCCGATATATCAATTTTATCCCACGCCTTTTTTGGGGAATATATATTTTTAAAATACATATATATTAAAAGAAAAGAAAAGAAAAGAGGGAAAATGCAAAATGAAATTTAAAAAAAAAGAAGAAAATAATTTACGGGAATATGCTTCACTACAGAACAATCGAAGAAATCCGTCAATACAACGGGATCCATTATAGAAGCGCCCAGGTTACCGACGTTAGTACACGTCCAATGGGTGTACATATCCCGTAAATATTGCTTGATCAGGTGTTCGTGATAGGTTTTAGCTAAGGCATCATCTCTGGATCTCAGAGAGTTCCCTTTGGTCAACAGATCGCGTATATACTCAGGATCGCTTCGAAGACATACGAATAAGATAATATCAGAGGCCCGTATGAGCTACCATTTACACAGCCCAAATTTTTTATAAAAAATAAAAGAATTTCGGCCCGGCCCGGATATATTTATATAACCGTGTACCCGAACCGGACTTAGGACCGGCCTGGCGGTTTCCTATTATTATTATTATTTATTGTACATTCAAATTTTTTAATGTTTTATCTAAGAAAGGAAGAATATATATATATTATATTATTTATTTAGGTGTTAAAAAAAATTGTTATCGAAAATTTAACTATAACAATTCCCTAATTATAAGATAGATAGGCAAATAGGAAAAGAAGAAAAGAAAGGAAAGGGTTTACCCTAACTGTAACGTTTGGCGAAGATGACGAGGGATCGCGGACATATCACGTGATTAAGAAAAGCAAGTTTGACTGACGTGAGTTAGATTAATAAGGCGTATATTTGTTATTTGTATGTTTATTATGTTGATTAAGCGCGCATTACTAAGGACGCGTTTTCGTTACATAATTATGCGATTGCATTAATATGGATTTCAATAATGTTATAAATAAATGAAACAAATGCTTTATGTTCCAACGTACCTAAAGGTGAGATAACGTCGAAACAATATTTTCATTAAATTTGTGAGATGATTCGACTAAAGCAGATTAAATAATGGAGAAAAAAAATGAAATATAGATATGGTAATCTAAATAAATAACCATATAGGCAGATAGAAGAAGAAAAGAAAGAAGGAAATAAATAAAAATATGTATTAATTTTTTTTTTAAATCTACAAATTCCTTAAGAGATAAGGGCCGGTTCCTTCCGTTTCTTTAACGGCGGCGTTTAAAACGCTTTCGAATGTTTAAAAGGTGAGAATTTTCTCTCTTCCCTTTATCATTATCATCGAAAAACGTTTTAATTTTAAGAGTAGCGTGAAAAGGAGTGGTCCAAGATCGACTCTAAGAAGCATAAAGGTGTTAATTTCTTTGATTTTTATAAATTTTCTTAAAAAGGTATATAAATATTAAAGAATTATAATATATCCTTTCTTTCTTTATCTCTTTTTTTTCTTTCTTTCTCTCTTTCTTTCTTTAATAAATACTGTATATAATAATATAAGTTTTGGTGTGTGTGGTTATCACGGTATCATTTCTAGAATTTAGAAAAAAAAGAAGATTTTTTTGAAGATTTTATAGCCAAAAATCTCCGATCACAAAATTCAAATTTTCCTTTTTTAAGAAAAAATATTATAAATGATTTTTTTATGCACAAGAATCTTGGTTGATTTAATTTTAAAAAGAAATTAAGAATTTGAGGTAAAACTTCATCAAAATTATATTTAAAAAAATCTTCAAAAGATCTCTATTTTAAAAAAGCATTTCAACAAACCCCGATCTATAATTATTTATATATCATTATTTAGTTACCCGCATTTTTTCAAGATTGAGCATTCTAAGAGTGTCTCCATGAGTCTGGCTAGGTTGGAAACTCTTATGATCCATAAATTACATTAAAAAAAAGAAGATTATTGTAAATCAAAGTACACTTCACTCTAAGGATGCCATGCTTCTCTTCTTATATAAAATTCAGTATATATATTAGAGAAGTGCAAAAGTAGGCCCGTCCCCAAAATAGTTTTTAAGAAAATTCGAGCCGGGTCAGCCTTGGAATTTTTTTTTTAAATATATCTAAATTTATCAATCTTATGTCGAATTTTTTAAGCAAAAATAAAAATATGTGATTTTATTTATAGAAAAGTAGACGCCAAATAACATGTATCGTTTATTTTGAGTAATTATAAAAAATTAATTTCTATATTTAAATAAATTCGGGCTGAGCTGGCTGGCAAAATTTTAAAAATTTTGGGTTCGGACCGGGCAAAACTTTATAAAATTATTTTTCGGCCCGGGTCGGGTGGGGCTTGAAAAAATTAAGCCCGTTGCAGACCACTAATATATATAATATTTTAGAGAAGGGGAGAGAGTTAAACATTTTAAAAATATTCCAAAATAAAATAATTGCGAATTTTTGATCAAATTTAATCATTGTGATTTTAAGCGATCAAATATGGTAAAAGGGGGAAAACAAAGTGTAAGTAATATGAATGCCAAGTGTGTTGTAGTGTTGTTAAACGGCTCCTTTTGGGCATCTCAATATTTTAGCCAGAAAAATATGGCCTAAGACTCCTCATATTTCGATAATACATGGCTGGACCTTTGTTCCTTTCATGAGCCAAATCTTCAGGCTTAACTAATATTTTTCTGGATGAAGTATTGAGTTTTAGCCGTTTTAAAATCGGCTCAAAACTTGCCGTTTAATATCACTAGCCAAGTGTGTTGAACCGAGAGGGAAAAGGGGATTGTTTCTAAGAAACACTTGTTTACTCCCTTTTAGGATTTAAAATTAAAATTTTTTTATGTTTAAGGCGATGGGGACTCGTTTTTAACCTCCCCGACCTTATCGAAATTTTATTTTTACAAAAACAAAAATATATTTCATTTTTTTAAAAAAATGGAAACCAAAATTATTTTGAAAATTAATTTAAAAAAATAAAATTATATAAACGGAATTAATTACATGTACAAATTTCGGCCGGTGGTAAGATTCACGAAAGATTCGGTTTCTTGGTAAATCTTGTCGTGATTGGTTGTATAGATCTGAAATATCGCGTCTATGATTCTTTGAATGTTTATTAAGATAGGTTGATTTTTTTTAGATAAGATATTAAATTTCTTTCTTTTCTTTCTTTCTCTTTCTTTCTTTCTTTCTTTATTTCTTTCTTTCTTTCTTTCTTTTAGTTGTAAAAAAAGGATATATAAGTTAGCGGCAATTGTGTTAATTTTTTTTTTCAAACCTATCGGAAATCATCATGTTAATATTAAGACCAACCCTATGAATTTCTAACAAACTTTGCCATGAATTAATGTTAATAAACGGCTCGTTTTGAGCCAATTTTTTTAAAAACAGCTGACTCAATATTTCATCCATAAAGATTTTACTCAACCTGAAGATTTTTGCTCATAGAAGAGGAACGAAGGTTCTAGAACATATATTATCGAAATCTCGAGGCTTAGGCAATATTTTTCCGGTTAAAATATAGAGTCAGCCCTTCTTTAAAAAATCGGCTCAAGAACAGTTTAACAAACACTACCAACGAATCTATTTAATTTAATTTATTAAATATAAATTATAAACAGTCAAGGGCTAAGGGTCAAAAAAAAATTCAGAAGATAGGTATTTCTAAACGTGCTTCTCGAAAAATGTAATTTAAACGTTGAAAAAAAAAATAACACACTGCCGTTAACATAATACATACATGTACAATTGAATAAAGTATTCCAAAATTGTGAATAGATCATTGGCAGTGTTGCTAAACGACTCGTTTCGAGCCGGTTTTTAAAAAAAAGCTGAATCAACATTTTAACCCTGAAAAATATTGTTCAAGTCTCGCGTACTCGACAATCACCTTTGTTCCTTCTACGAACAAAATCTTCAGGCTTGGGTAATATCCTTTTTCCTGGATAATATATTGAGTTTGTCATTTTATAATAATCTGATCAAAAACCAACCATTTAACAGCACTAGATCGTTGGTCCAAGTCTTATTTTAACTGGGAGAAATACAATAAATGTGTTTTACACCTTTGTAGCAATCGGAATTTCTATTTCAAATGAAAAGATAAAAAAAGGGGCGTTTTTTTTTTTAACTAACAAAAATATGGGAATAGAGGGTGTGTATTTATATTTGCTACTTGCGATTCGTTTACTTCACATTTAGCGAAAGGTTTTAGCGGAGAACATCGTATTATGATGAATCAATCAATCACTTTCTAAGAATCAATGTTCCCCCCCCCCAAAAAAAAAAAATTTTTTTTTCTCGCTAAAACATTAAGTTAGTCGTTTTTGAAAATCGGCTTAGAGCCCGTTTAACAACGCCTTTACATCTGGTATCTAGAATATACATCTTGATATTGTTTTATCATGGCTCCTCACTTAACACGGGAAAACGCCATTCAAATCGCCAACAACGATTTAGACTACGAAGGTTATACAACATACAACGCATTTAATTTTGTAGCTGTAAAAAATAGTTTTACGCGGAGCCTCTATAGCTGCTCGCTCAAAATCTGGCCGAGAAAATTTTGGTTTCCAAATACAAATGTTACTCACGTATCTCTATTGATCATGAATAATTTAGATTTTACTTTGTTCGGCAAAAGGACATGATATTTGGTGATCTAAAGAATGTACCATCCATCTACACTGTATCAGATTCTGTCACATTAATCTCGATAAATTCTTGTAGAGATTAGCTTGCAAAATCCAGAATATTCGATAGTGAATTATATTTTAAGATTAGTACAAAGAAATATAATTACGTCGTAAATATGATTTTATAATAATAAATGAAACAATTCCAATAGTTGAAGTTAAATAACATTTCTTAAAAAAAATACAACAAATGAAAGTCAGTGTAAGAGTAACTTGCATATAAATAACATAAAGGATCTCTTGTTAAATAAAAAATCAATCATACAGTTAACAATTTAACGATAATCTAATAATTATCAACGTAACATTGTAAATTATGAATATTAATACAATTCATAAATTTTATTAGTGTAATTGCCTAAAAGGGAATGGTTGTCCTTCACCTACTATGAACTCAATGGGTAAATATTAAGTCCCTGGAAGTTTAGAGGTTAGGTCTAGCAGCTTTGTGTGACCAATTCTAGTGTAGTCAAATAAGCCAGATTAAGATAATAACCAAAATAACATTATATGTAACTAAAAAAAATTTTAAATACAGCTGTCAGAACTGCTTGGAACATCTATTTGCCCAGAATTTCGATGCTTAACATAATATTTTATTTTAGCTAAAAATCTTAATCGGGCCATTTTGAAAAATCGATCCAAATCGGACTTTTTAACAGCACTAGACAATTCTATCTTTAGATTTTTGAAGTTAAAGGTTGGAAGTGCATCCAGATAAGCTATTGATATTGGGTACATTTTGTAATCCATCACCTTGAACCGTTATTGTATATGTATGTTTTTTTAGATATCCAGTGAATTTAACGTCATATAAATAAATTTTATAAATGATTTTAAATTAATTTAGACAAAATGTTTATATATGATATATTTAAAACACAATGTTTTTTTAAATAATTTCAAAATTCCAGCGATTTAATAGGCCAATCAAAAATGGACTAAATGACTTTACGATCACAGTTAGGCAAATCATAATAATTACTCAATATAAATATTTCAACAGATAATCACCTTTCACAGATATATTTTTTCTTTCATATTAAATTATATTTGTTTTTTTTGCACTGTTTTTTATTCTTAAATTTTGTTTTTTATTAAGCAGTTGTTTTTTTTACTCCTAATTTTACGCAATATTTTTTTGTTCGAGAGTTATTTTTCCTAGAGGTCCTTTTTATTCCTCATTACCATTACTTATATAACGCGTGCGTGATATAGAAATAACCATAATAAAATATTGGGATAAATAATAAATATTATCGTTTCAAATTAATTAAAAAGGTGTCCGTCAATCACTGCAAGCGTTATAGATAAAAATGAAATGAAATTTAAATAAATAAAAGAGAAGAAAGAAACTTAATAAATTAAAATATTATTTTATCAAACTTTTTTAAATGAGTCTCCAAAATTTGATTCAAATTCCTGGGCACAGCTGTTTTCAAGTCCGTCTCAACGTCAAAATAAGGGTAATCTGAATGGGCGGAAGGCGGAGGGCGGAAAAATGTTAGAATGTTAGTTACGACCGTTTTGAACACGTTGGATATGTCGGATAATATTCTAATTTTTTTTTTTTTTAACGATATAGTTTTTATCAGTTGATTGGAAAATCTTTTGTCCAACCACGATTTACCGTTTTAAAGGTGAAAAAATCTAGCATATAACAAATTGGAGTGGAAACCTAGAAACGAACCATTTGGAAGAGTTATCGCCTCCCACTTCTGGAGGTTCGTCGTCATCGTCCCTGTCCTGCCCTTCATCTGGCTCCTTTAGAAGAAGGTGGCTGAACTTGAGGGTGTTCCAGAAACTAGAATTTATGCTCGTGGTATCCATCTTGCAAAGAACGCCACGGTCAAGGTCAGCGGGAGAGTCCGTATTCCCCTTATCTTTATTAACATCGTTATCGTCAACGGCGCAAGCATCGGATATAGCCAGTTTAATGGCATTTATTTCTTCCTCCAGGAAGCTTTGGGTGAGGCGGTAGAATTCGCGGATAATCAAGGGTTTCCCCACGTGTTTCCACATATCCAAATACGATTCCTTAGGCCGAGTATCTTCAATAGTTTATATATATATCTTTAAATTATTTAATCGAATGCTAGCTTTACTACTATAACAGTTATAATAAATATATTAAACCATTATAGTTAAGAGATTTTTAATGAGCATAATTATGTACAATAATCTGTGAAAGATCCTTCATACAAAGAAGAAGAAAAAAAGTCTTGGAGCAACTTGAGGCAATTTGGTCAAAATTCATGCACGTGAGCATTCTTAATTTTTTTTTTGATAAAATTAAACCCTCTTAGCCTACCATTAAGATCACCCACCATGATAATGTGTTCAAAGAGGCTCTTCATACAAAACAATATTTTACCTTTTTTATTTCGCATAACATTACTCATTTTTAACATTGACGAATATGCGTAGGGATTACTTTTTAATGTCCAGCCTAGCCCATAATTTTTTGCCCCGACTCGATTCCAAACGATTCTTTTTTGTATTTTGTTCTGAAAAGCCAGACCGGAAATCAAAATTTTCTTGTCGGCCAGGTTGGAATTTGTTTAATAATTTTTTTGGAGCCTCGTTTTGCAGGAGATTTAAAATATATATCAATTTATCTCACAATATTAAATGGTTATAGTGCGCACAATTTGAGCGATTATGTTTTGCCGTAATTTTTAAATTAAATAAAAGGTAACGCGTCCCTTGTTTAACTTGAGGTTGTCTTTTTTATTAATATCCGTTAATTTAAAATTTTAAATAAGTTCTAAAAAAAAAGGATTTGTCTTTTGAAAATTATTATTATCGTCTGCGTTCTTATTTCTTTAATTTTCTAAATATTCCTTTTCAGGAATATAAGAGTTGTATCTGTTGATATATAATCGACCTTTATGGACATTTTTCAATTAATTTCGAATAAGATATAGATAACATTTTGTATTCTTTGATTTGGATCATTTGTTATTATTAGATTAAATAAAAGTGGAATTATTCTTTGGGAACGTATTTTAAAATATATATTTTATTTTTATATAAATAATTATTTTGTATTAATATTATTATTATTGTTTAGGAAAATAAGCAAGTTATTTATATTACATTTTTATATAATATTACAAAACGAAGAATAAAAATAAGTAATGAAAAAGCAAACATATTTGTGTTTATTAAAAATGTTTGCTCAACGCCAAACGATAATTTTACCAATTTTTCATGCGGCCATTTGAAAGGTATTATTAGCGCTTGCAACGCAGCGTTTGAAACGCTAAATTTGTTCACACTATTAAACTAGACCCGAACCGAAATTATATTTTTTTTAAAAAAGGTCCGGTCCGGAAAATATCCTTATAGTTTTTACAAATATGGATACAGATATAATGTTAATAAACTAATTTATTCTTTTGCCTATATTTTTTAAATAAAACAGTTTCCAATAATTTTATTGCTTATGATTGTTTTTCTTTGTCGCTCAGCTCATGTTCAAATAATAAAGGCTAAAGAAAGAAAGAATGAAAGAAAGAAAGAAAGAAAGAAAGAAAGAAAGTTAAAAAAAGAGTAACGTAAACGTAAAGGTTTCACTATTTTTTTACATAGTAACGTGAATTGTAACAACGTTATTTTTCGAGGATTGGTGAGAGCTTTATATGAATGGTTAATATATAGGAGAAAAGGAAGTAGAAGAGAGGGAAGGAATTGAACAATATTATATATCGTTTCACTTTAAAAAAAATTTATTATTTCATTCTTACGTTTAGGCCACTTATTTTCGATGTGTGCGATAAACAAGAATATCATTTAATATAAACATAATTTAAAAATAAAATGTCTACTTTAATAATAATACCCGCTTTCTCGTCTCCAGACATGGGTGGCGGTCTTAAATCGAAATAAGCTACAGCCTTCAACCAAATATCATGGTTCAAGGAGCCAGCATTATGTAAAGGATTGAGAGAGAAATTGATCCCCTCCTCATTGGCATTATTTATAATGACTTCGTGGGAATTGGTCATGTAAGAGCAGGCGTAAAGCGAGCGAGATATCAGGTTAAGATTGGAACTGTAAAGTATCGGTTTGGGAATCGTGGCGCCCATTTTAAGAAGACCCCACATAGTCTCCATGCCGGGGTAAGTATTGAGGCAGCTATTAGGAAATGGTTTATGTAAGAAGCAAACAGTTTCAAAAAAGAGTTCAATTACTTTAAAGGTTAGAGTGCAATACTCCAGTTTATATGCTATATTAACGAATCAAACTAATATTCATCCTCTTCTTCCCCCCCCCCCTACATATTTTAAAAAAAGATGGGACATTATAATGCTCACTTATTGGTCCAATGTATGATTAAATCTTTGCAAGTTGTCTCTTCTTTGTCTAGCGAAGCATCATTATCAATTTCGGTACTTTTCTTTCTGATATTAGGATTTGCAAGAAGATGTTGTTCAAATTTCTGGTATAGTTCCCCAGTGCATGGCATATTTAGAACCTCGAAAGCCGATTTTTGCCAAGCTTTGATGTTCTCTTCAAATGGATTAACACTCTTAAAGCTTTCATTGCTTGGAATATTTTTGAAAGAGGAAATACAATGACATTTTGTTGATATAATGGAATAGGATTGTAGGATAGTCATCACAATGCATTCAAAAACCTGTGAAATCTTTTTAAAAAAATTTTTAATGATGAATTTTACATAGAGTATTCTAATAAAGATAAAATTGACATGGCTTCTTAAGCAATTAAATGAGTACTTTATTATTTGAAGATACGGTGATGTTAGATGAATCATTGCATAGTTCACATATAAAACTTTTCCTATCAATGAGAAATAGTTCAAATGTTTTAATATAATCTTGATGCTGAACTAATATCATCTGAATCAAAAATGTTTCTCTTATAATTCTCACATCTTTGTCTGGATTTTTTAAAATATGTCGAGACTCCTATAAACAAAACAAAAATATAACATCTAACATAGAAAAATTACACTTAAAAGTTTGTGATAAATATTATCAATTGCATTATTATATAAACAAAACAAATTTTTGATCTTTAAAATGGAATCATCTGTTTGTTTATGTATAAAATTTTTGATGACATTATAGATAAAGCATTCAAATATATATAATATGGTTGTAGTTTCTAAATTACAACTATCAATTTTTGATAAGGTTGTGATATTGTCATGCAATTCACTTAGAAGGTTATTGCAAAAAATAGGGATTTCTAGATATAATTTTAGAAAGTAAGTTAATGGGTATTCATTATCTTGAGAAATCTTTTTAAATCTCCAATTTTCACTATAAAAACATTTGAAATAATTATTTACTAATATATATACATTTATAAAATAACTTTTCAATAGAACTCTGCTCCAAAAATAATTTAGAATAATCAGAGAAATTGTGCATTTTTATTGCAAGTTCATTGACTGAAGTCACAATCTAATAAATATATAATTGTAACAAAAATTAAAATGAAATAAAGAACTTTGCCAGATTTATGTCTTAAGTTTTGTATTGTGTTAGCTGTGAACAGTAAATTTTGATATCTTTTTCTTTAAATAAATTTTAAATATAAATAAATACTATATCATACCCCACAATATTCTTAAGATCTTCATTTTTGCTATTAATTTCTTGCTTAAGTTTACGTCGTAGATTCTTAATATCTTGTATGTTGTAGGTTTCAAATATATCTTTCTCTCTATCATTTATAAAAGTTTCTAACGTTTCTGCCATATGGTTTGATGCCTTTTAATTTAGTTTAGCAGATAAATATCGAAAATATTTATTCGGGGAGATAACAATACAGCAGAGATAGGATAGTCAAATTATGAATAAATATATAATTGCCTTTATTATTTTTTAATGACTAATATTTAAATTTTGTATAAGACATCTATTAGTAATTATTATTTTTATCAATTGTGAAGTGAATACTTTTAATGATAATGATGATGCATTATTTATATTAATATAAAAAATAAATTTTATACCTTTTTTTTATTTTTAAAACACGGTTATAATTTAAAAATTAAATAAAATCATGAAGATAATATATATATAAAAAAAACAAATAAGAATATATTAAAAATTAAAAGAAAAAAAATATTTATAAATTTTATATAAAAAAAAATTTAAACAAGAAAGAAAAAGCTTAGAAATGATTAAGCACTTGGGAAATTGGACCGGCAAATTCTAACTCCATATATGTCGTTAAAAGACAACCCCATGAGTAATTTTAATAAAGAGGATTAGAAAAATTCTTCCACTATCCATATGACCTTACATGATTTTAAAATATTCATTCTTTGACAATATTTTGATTTGAATTTATATTAATGCTCGGTTTCTTTGATAATTAGTAACATGTGCTCAATATAAATTAAATAATTTATTCATTGTCAAAAATTTTATTTGATTATCAAAAACATATGTGTCAGAATTTCTGAGTGATGCAAAAAAAATTTATCGACAATTTAAAAATTTTAGCGTTTGGAGGAACTGGTGGCAATGGTATTTTAAAATATAATGGTAAAGGCGGAAAAGGAGGAGATGTTTTAGCATCTGCATGTTCAAAAACTTCACTTAATTTATTAGCAAATAATTATCCTAACAAAAAAATTAAAGCTGAGCCTGGTGACCCTTCAAGAATGTTTGAATTGCAAGGAAAGCCAGGGAGAAACACGATCATTCATGTCCCACTTGGTTCGTCGTTTTATTATATTAATGATAATAAGCAAACAAATAAATTTAAGCATTTAGGAGATGTAAATAAAATAAATGAACAAATTCTATTAGCCAAAGGTGGGGAACCAGGATTTGAACATAATTTGTATAATGGTCAACCTGGTGAATGTAATAAAATTTTGATAGAATTAAAATTATTAGCTGATGTAGGATTGGTTGGGCTTCCAAATGCTGGTAAATCTACACTTTTAAAATCATTAACAAATGCTCATCCTAAGATTGCAAATTACCCATTTACTACATTAACTCCACAAATTGGTATATTAGAATATAAATCAGATTTCCGTAAAATATCAATAGCTGATTTGCCAGGATTAATTGAAGGAGCATCATTAAATAATGGATTAGGTCACAGTTTTCTAAAACATATTGAACGCACCAAACTTCTCTTATATTTAGTAGATATACATGGATTTTCACTCGATATTTATAGTAAATACATGACAGCAATCGAAACATTACAATTATTAATTAAAGAAATTGAATTATATAATAAAGCCTTACTTGAAAAGCCATCAATATTAGTTCTTAATAAAATAGACATTAATAAAGATACAGATATCAAGGGTCCAATAAATATAAATCAAAAATTTACTAATATAAGTTCATTTGACCAATTCTCAAATGATCGAATCAAATTCCACGAAATATTTGAAATATCTGCTAAAAATAAAGTTGGATTACAATATTTAAAACAACGTATAAGGGTTATATTGGATGATACCTCATTTCAAAATTAATCCTTATTATATAATATTGTTAAAACATAAATTATCTTTATATTTTGAATTGGAAATGGTAAATCTTCTTGTAAAAAAAAAGAAAGAATATTGATTATAATTGCATATCATAAACTTTAAAATTGTTCATTTGACATTTTATAATTCTGGTAAATATAAATGAAGATTTCTATGAGTTAAATTTTTATTTTCTTGCATGATTATTGTGTTCCTTCTCCAATTTACATGTCAAAAATTTTTTTTATCAAAGGCATTTTATTTTAATCTACTAAGCTCCAAATGAATATTCAAATCAGATTCGTATAATATTATATTAATTTTTTAGAATAACATTTTACAGTTTAGCTCTCTAGTTTTTTAAAAATTAAATTCCTCCTCTGCTGATTTCAGAATATATCTACATTGCATCCATTTAGATCTCTGGAAAAAAATATTACCCTGGAACTCTATAATATAAATTATAACAATTAAACAGATTTTGAACTGTCTGAAAAATGACTTAGCCAAGTTTTAACCAAAAAATTATCAGTACAGCATTGAAGTCTGAGTCAAAAAAAACTCAGCTCTATACCCTAGAGCCAGAGTTTATACTGTACCTAACAAAGTTTCCCTTTCTGTATATTTTTAAGGTACACTTTAAAAGAGATTTTGCTTCTTACTTTCATACCTGTTCTGAAAATTCCAGTTCTAAATTATTTTGAATTTTAAATATAAAAACGAATCTCACCCAAGATTTTGTAGAATACTAAATCTGAAATATAGTTGTATATATATTTTTATGTTAAAAATTGTCATTGAAATTTTTATGAACGAATAAATTTTGGTTCCCTTAGAAATTTCTAAAAGGTCCTGCAGACAGTTATAAGATTCGAATGGGTTCCAGTTTCAAACTCATTCTGCTTTTGGCTTCGCTGAAGTGTCTAGCCTAGAGGATGAGAAGAATAAGTCAATTTTGCAATACTAGCCTAGTTAGACTAAGGACACAACATTACTTTAAAAAAAAATTTAGTTTGTTTGCTTAAATTTAAAAATGGTGTTGAAAATATTACAAGTTACAATTATAAAATGATTAACATTATAATGATGTAACTAATAACTATTTCTAGTTACATTTCAAGTTACTAGATAAAAAATTTTTTTTTATATAACTCAACATTTTTATAAATTTTTTTTTCTAATTTATACAAAATATAACTATGCGGTTTATGAAAATTTTAAAATAAGGAAATAAGTTGAAAAAATATTTATTTGCACCAGACAAAAAAAAATATAAAAACTAAAACAATACAATATTTATTCTTCATAAATTTTTTATAATTATTTTTAAATAAGAGGTAAATAAGTTTTTATTTGATTCTTTTTTTTTAAAAAATTGTTATAAAACTTTTATTATTATATATATTATATAAAAACTATATTAAATAAAATAATAATTAAACATTTAATTAGGTATGATCAACGGGGCTTAAAGACCCATGTAATGGATATGCAGTTAGAACGGCAGATTTCAGTTGAGATATTAGCCGCAATGTGTTATTTTTCAGTTAGAACGGCAGATTTCAGTTGATATTCTCTGTCGAAGGTGGAAGCCTTCTTTTAGAGATTAGCCGCAATGTGTTATTTTTTCTACTTCAAATCATTTTTTGAGCGCGTTATTTTAAATTTAAGAATCGGATCTTACTAGATGCATTTCATTATGGTTGGAATAACCTACCTTATAAATATCAGGTGATTTTGTCGTGAACTTTACTTAATTTGTTCCTAATTTTGCCATATATTTTTTGGATAAATTATATATGACGCAAAGATTAATGACAAAATTGTTTATGTTTACAATTGATAAGATTGGCATTTTAAACATGTTGTATTTCCGGTAAAGTCAGATAATTTTTTAAAAAGCGCGGTCAAAAAAATAATGATTTAAAGTTGAAAAAATAACACATTGCCGCTAACATATGTTATTTTATTTTTAAAAAAAAACATTATATAAAAGATGGTGTCTAAAGAATCTATGCTAATTTTATTTTTTTTAGAAAAAAAATAAACTCCCTTACTTTGCATTCATTAACAGTTAGCGTGAAATCGCTGCGAAGTATACGAAAATGAATGTTAAATCATATTTTTTTTATACATCGTCACCAATTCGCTCTTACTATGAACGCGGGGTTAGAGCGAACAAAACTTCTACAATAGCAGGTACCCGAACCGTTATTTATAACGGTTCAGTTTGATTACGGTTCAGCATGTAAAAAATTATAATGGTTACGTTTTGGATACGGTTCTTAAGAAAAAATTTACAAAGGTTCGTTTCTTCAGCTTATAGGTTCATAATGGTTCATTACGGTTAGAAATATTTAAGCAACGCCATCGTCTAATTTATTTTTTATTATAAGCATCTGTGAATTATATATTAAAAAAAAATATATATAAGATTCAAAATAACTCATTTTTAAATATATTATATGTAATTTATTTTCTCGTATAAATGGATTCATATTTGTTTGTTGTGACGATAATACAAATTTTAGCCCCCGAAAAGGCCCTTTCTACAGAAACTTGTGTTGCGAGAACCATCAGTACTCAAGTTTATATGATTCTGGACATTAAGATTTTTTTGATTCCCTAAAATATAAAAACTGAACCTGTTTAAACCGGTTTAACCTTTTTTTTATAAAGGTTCTTTTTACTCCTTCAAAAAAATGATTATTATTTATAACGGTTTATAATGGTTTACCGGTTCACTCCGGAGAGACATTATATATGTTAGCGTCAATGTGTTTTTTTTCCGGCATTGTGTTATTTTTACAACTTTAAATCCGTTACTGAGAACGTTTTTTTTTTAAATTTAAAAATCGAATTATACTACCTATCTTATGAATTTTATTCAATATTGCTCTTAACCTTTGACTCATTTATAATTTATATATAAAAAATATATGAAAAATTAAATATAAATTATATTAAATTTAAAAGCTCCTGGAAAAATTTTGTCTAAAATTCATACAGTAGGTATTTTTCCAAACATGACGGCATCCATTTCCGATAAAATGAGATTTTTCAAATTTTTTTAAAAACGCGCCTCGAAAAATGATTTAAAGTTGGAAAAATAACACATAGACGCTGACATATATAAAACAATAATTTTAAATTTTGGTTAAATCGTTAAATAAAAGAGAATGAAATAATATATAATTAAATATTAAAATGTATTTTAGAAAGTATAATAAATTACTTTTTTGTTGTTATATTTTCCAAAAAATAATTTAAAAAATTACATTAGTATTCCTTATATTACTCCAATCCGCCATTGTTTTTGACACAATCGGTGCTTTTGAACCCAGAGCAAAGGATTTTTTCAAGGCACTCGGCTAAAAAAATGCTCTTTAGTTTTTCTGGTCATCCTCAGGAAGGTTTTTAGCTACGTCAACGAATTTCAATTGAAAATTTGTAGGTCTCATAGTATATCAATCCACAGTGCCATAACCTAAATGTACCTCCTCATGTTCATTTTTTAATATATTATAATTATTTTATTTTTATATACCTTTATATCTTTTATTGTTAAATTGTATAATCGTAATTTAGATCTAATTAAAAAAATAAAAAAAATTAAGTTTATAGTTATTTATTTCACCAAAAATGTAACTGTATCGAATATTATAAATCGAAATAAAATTATATATTTTGGGGGAGAATAAGAAAAACATGGATCCTCTTGCGACAGTGTTTAATTTACTAAAGAACATAATATAAGTTGAGTAATCTGCTAGAATTCGTGTATAAGATAATTTCCAGACAACGTTTTTTCAAAGCGGAAATTATAGGCATGTTTCCTCCCGGCAAATAATTTTTTTTATTTACAAATAATGGATAATTATTTGTCGAATTAATTTTTTTCTATATATAATATATATTTTTTTTAATATTTCATACCCCATTTAATTTTAAATAAAAAAATTAAACCTTAGAAAACCGCTCTGAAAAAACGCTCTGTCTGGAAATGGCCTAATAATATACAGGCGCGCGTCGAAGCAAACCTGCTTAAGCCTTCGACAGATGCGAATTAATTTTTTTTAAATGTCTTTATTCAAAATGTAGTTACCTTTTCGAACCCTGAGTGGGTAGGTTTTAGCTTTGGCTTAAAAAGTGGGGTTTTAACCGTTTTTTTTATCTTTCTTTCTTTTCTTTCTTTCTTTCTTTCTTTCTTTCTTTCTTTCTTTCTTTCTTTCTTTCTTTCTGTCTTTCTTACTTTCTTTCTTTTTATGAGTGAAATTTTTAAAAAATAAATAATGTTTTAAAGCATCACAGCACGTGATGTGCTCGAATAGAAATAATCTACTCTGAAGTTTCAAGAATTTATGTAAGATTTTTTAAAAAAGTTAAATTTATATCTATGTAATCACGTGTTAAAGGATGTGTAGAAAATAGAATATATGTAAAGTATTTTTTTAGTCATTCATTGTTTTTTAAAAAAAGATGATCACGTGTATTCAAACCACGTGTTTTCAAAAAAAGTAACAATTCAATAAACATGTGCGATTTCTTCTATTATTAAATCAATTTTATTATTTTTTTTGGGGCGGATCTTAACGGAACCATTTTTATTTTACCTCGAAAGATATCATTTCTATTTTCCTCGTGCTGTAATATAATAATATTTTAAAAAATTATTCATTTTTGTTAAACGTCAAAAAATTTAAGAGGATTTGGTAGAATAGTTTTTAAATTTTTTTACAGTAAAGAATAAGGAAATGTCCTGAAGGATTGTATCATTTATTTTAAAAAAAAAGATTAAAGAACTAGGTTTCCACGTGGTGGAATTCAATTAAAAATTAGAACCTGGACTGGATTAAAACGGGTTACTACTTCCGGTTTTGAATATATATACTTTTTTAAGAATGGTGTTTCCGGTGCCATAAAATTTGACAAATTCTTATATCTGGCACGGTTATGGAGGTTTTCCAAGGTTCCCCTTCCTCCGATTTAACCCAAATTAGGTTTTCAAATATTTGACATTGTTTGATCGAACATTTTGAGACTATGGGACAAACGGGAACCATATTATGGACAATCCATATACCCCGGGGTAATACTATCCGGGGCGAGATCAGACCTAAATAGCCCTGATTTTAATAATATACTAAAAATTAATCTAATATACGCGTTGATTTTATGTTTATTCATCAAATTAAACCGAACCTTAAACGAGTTCAAACCCCAGTTTTTTTTTTACTGAATTTGAAGCTTTTGAAGAGGTTTGATTTTATTTTAAAAATAATAATTTTATACGTTTAAAAATATAGAGACATTTTTGATAAAGTAGATTCTAAAAACACAGATGGAACCTTTTACGATTATATAATAATAAATTTTGTTTCTTTTGAAAATTGAAAATTATCAAAGATCACGAGATCTTCTAACTCAATTTCAGTGACTATAAATATTTTTTGTAAGTATAACATATATATAATATGAAAATGAATATATTCCCAAATCATATGTTTTAGTAATTATTTTGGTTTATTACTTTGGCTTTCATCATTCATTATAAATGAAATAAAAAATGATATACCAAAAATGACTAGGCCTCCATTTTCTTCCGAATTTTATATATCTTTCAAAAACCATTGTTTAATTTTCAATTATTCAAACCATCATTTTTTTTCTTCATAAATAAAAATATAATAAAAAATTATATAATATTTATTCATGCTGAAATTTGGAAATTGTAATAAATCGATCATTCTATTTTCCCTGTGTATTTTATATCTGTACGGAAGTCGCCTTTTATGTGACGGAGCTAATATTGCCATTGCGACCTCGTCTTCGCCCAAGACCATGACAAGGAAAGTTTATGGTAAGTATATTATTATTAACGGCTTTATATTATTAGAATCCTTTCCTGCATTCAAAACTTCTTGTAAGGCTCTCCCTCTTAAACCTGAAACTGAATCCCCCCCCCCCTTCCCGAATGTTCCGATGCCGAAAATATAAAATGGAATACTGATTAACCATGTTATAAGGTACCCCTCCTTTATGAAATTTAATTGATTCCCTTCCTACCCCTCATGTCATTAGTTACAGTTATAAATTAAATTCAAAATCAACAGGAGGAAGCAAGGAATAAAAACCTATATTTTGAAAGCACAGGATCCCAGGCACGTTTTAAGTATTATTTTTTAAACTTTCCCAAACAAAGTAGGAATGTTAATAATGTCAAATTAGATAATTTTTTCTTGACATTACGAAAAGATACCCAGTTCGCTTATGTGCATTAGTCACCATTTTAAAATGGTGGCAAATACATGTTATGCAAAACAATTAATTCGATTTTTGATTGGTGCAAAAAAAAAATTGTTTTTTTTTTGCGTAATTTATAGTAAACGCGTTATATTCTAGTGTTGCGTTAATTGGCGCAACGTAATTACAACTGCTTCCGTTAATAAAAACTTTTGTATAATATTTAAGAAAAATCATGTATGCCCTTTCAATCGAATTCGCTATTATTTTTATAATCGTAATCGTTTATTTATTTTTTTTTATCAACGCATCTCAACATATGTTTTTCCAATTTTTATTATAGCGTCATCATCATAATGGCTTCATATTTATAGTTTTATACGTATTTATTGGCCTGCCGCGTTAAATAACTCAACGCTTGAACATAACGCGTTTACTATAAATTAAGGCCCTAGGCTTTCGATCCGGCATCATTTAACCGCTAGATTTTAAATGTCCGTTAATGAGATCGATTTTTCCTTTATTTAAAAAAAAACAATAATTTTTCTTATATTATCGTGGATAGAAGATTTTAAAAATCGATCAGCTGTTAAATTCTGGTCGGATCAGATGAATCTCACTATATAGGCCAGGGCTTTAGGACTTTGATTTATATATCACTAAATATCATTGTGGTTACATTTTGAAGAAGGAAAAAAAGGGAATATTGTCAATGAGAAAAAAATAATCAAATTTAATATATTTTTTTTTTAAAAAATAAATAAATTTATTAGTCTTATGTATGGAGACGTGTCGAAAATATTGTGAAAACGGATTTGAAAAAGATATCGGAGGATGTTTTAAATGCAAATGTCGAATTCTTGATTGAAGCTTTATGACATTTTGTTTGTTTAATTTCGCTAAAAATATTTGTTATTCATTTATTAGAATAAATAAATATTATTTATTAAATTAATTTAAAAAAATATAGAATTTATTGTAAATGTGTGTTTTGAAGGAAAAATAAATAAAATTTGAAATTGTATATAATATATAAAAAAAAATTTTACCTAGAGGGAGGAGTTAAATAAATTAAATAAAAAGCAGACGATTTATAATGGATATCGAAATATTTAAATTTTGGAATATAGAAAAATACGCTTTTCTTAATGTCGTTAGTGATGATATTTCTTCGCATTCGAACGGTAAAGAAGAATGGAAAGTAATTCTAGATATGTCAATGTGTTATTTGTTCAACTTTAAATCATTTTTTAAGCACGTTTTTTGTAAATTTAAAAATCTGATTTTACCGGAAGTACGTTCCATCATGTCTGGAATACCTATCTTATTGAATTATAGACAATTTTGCTTTTAAAACCTTTGAATCATTTATAATTTATGTTTCACAGGTATAATTTGATTTTAATTATGCTTAAACAATTTGAAGATAATTAACGACGAAAACAACTTGCAAATGCACATATTAAAATCTGGTTATCTTATGATCAAAAATAAGGAACAAATCCTAGTAATCAATTATAAGTTTTTTATAAATTATGTAAGACCTCGCTATTATGCTAAATCTCAATATTCGGGCATCTTTTTTAACCTCCATTTTTCCAAAATAAAAATAGTTCAATAGAAAGTATTTTCTAAGGCGTCTATTCAAAGCTGATTTATTACCTTTCGTAAGTAATCATTTATTAAGGGTGATAGTAACTGTCGATCAGAAAAAAAAAATTAGCACACTTACATTCTTATCATTTTTGCTTGCTAAAAGTTAAATCAGCTGTTAACATGGTGGGAAAGGGAGTGTAATAAAATCATTTAATAAATTGATTTTTTTTTATTTTAAGGAAAATTATTGTCTATTTAACGCCAAACAATTCTTGACAGGATATGTGAAAGGTGACAGTGTATTGTTCACTTACAAGTTTCAAGTTTAACATATATTTTTTTTATCACAATTATAATATTTAAAAAAAATATATCACGTGATTTTAACTATAATATATTAAAGCCCTGCGCCGTGGTCTAAAGAATAACTATGATAATAAAAAAAAAAGAAAAAAAATCCGAACTTTTTGAACCGGGGAGAGACAGATAAAGACCGAATTTTATGACCTAAAAATCCGACTAATCCAAATCCACTTTAAAATAAGGTTTTCGATCCGGGAAAAAAGCGTTTCCGGTTCCCCGCTAACCCGATTTCCATTTAGATTTGAATATATTCGTGGGTAGGGTTCATTATAATACAAATTCATTCACAACGTTTTACGTTTTTCCTTAGCTTCTTCTCCCATTTTTTTAAATAAAGAATTTAGTCAGATCCTTCCGTGTAAAATTCAAGGAAGTGAACGTAAATTCTGCGGCGCCAGACAAATCGGTGGTTTCTTGCAAAACCTTTATCAACCACGTGAAAAAGTTTATAGAGATAAACTACGTCGATAAAGATGGAAATGTCGTTCCCAAAAATAAGGAGCCAGTTATGCTCATAAACGGGAAAGATATGGCGAATACTATCGTAATTAAATCAAACAAATATAACGTTATTATTTTTTTTTAAAAGAAATGCTCAAAAAATGGAACCAAAATTTCTGAGAATCAGTTAATGGAGTCAATGACGATACACAAAATAGCCGAAGTTATATATACTCAAATCGCGTATATGTATGAGGAATTAATAAACAGCTGACTGAATGGATGAATGAATTTCCTATAATTTGATTAAACTTTTTTTTTAAAATTATTTATTAAAAAAATAAATGACAGTTATTACTAACAAGACAATCTAATGAAAGTGATAATAGTACAAAGAAGGAATTAGGTAACCCCGCGACAGCGAATAATAACGACGATAAAACTTTGATAAGAATGATGGCGTTATATCTGTCTGATCCCACATTTTTTAGCATGGTTCAGAATATCGAATCGATTTTAAATACTAAGAAATTTTTAGATTACCTATAAATCTATATTTTGTATAATATGAAATGATTAAAATTATAATAGATTATTTTGTTTTTCATATCTATACAAATGTAAAAAATCAAAATGATTATTGCGTTTGTGAAGTTGGTTTTAACGGTATAAATTGTATATTATTTATATTTAAATGATGTCTAATTTTGAAAATTATAAAATCTGTAATAATTATTTTTAATTTGAGCCCTTAATCTATATTTAATTTTATCTAAACTAGCTAACACGCAGGAATTCCTATACCCTAACCCCTCTTCCCAAGCCAATAACGATATCAACCTCCCTAACACTTACCAACCAATTTTTCTTTTTTCATTCATTTATCCCAAGCTTCCACTACTCTTCAATTTTTTCCTAATGTCCATAGTGTCTTCACATCTCCCATCTCTTCAATTTCGATGGCAATTTTGCGTCTTACCCTTAGCCCCCATTCCAACCATCCCCGTGGCAGAAATTACTATTAGTGGTGATTGCTATATAAGGGCTAGGGAGTTTATAAAAATGACCAATTATTTTTCAAATCGCTTTTTATGAATATAAAATTCTTTATCTTGCTAAATAGATATAAAAACATTAAAATATTTTTGATAATTATTATATTTCGTATAACTTATTTATTGATTTTTTTCAGAGTTTAAAAGAAAATAAATTCCATAAAATAATTATTTCGATCATTAAAGATATTTTATAGATCGAAATCACAAAAGATTTATTTTAGAAAAGATTAGCAATTTTAGATAATATTTGATCCATAATCCTGTTTGAGCATTCTCAAAAAACAGAAGTTTACTTTTTTAAAAGTATTCAGAGATTATCTTAGAAGATTGTTATTTTGCAGATTATTTCACACTCAGATTTTAAGTTTACTAATAATGAGGATCCATATTCAGTTAACAATCAAATGTAAATATATAGAATAGTAGATATAACTATTCAGGTAATAAGTAAAACATCCACCATTACAATTCACCTAGCGAACATTTTTGTAGCAAATTCCTAAAATAGGAATTGCTTGAATAATATCTTCTAAAACATTTTTAAAGATATTCAGTAGATTTATATTTTCTCTTTTCTTTAAATAAGTATATATTGCCATGTAATCTTCTGTAAACTGGAAGCTCCGAGATTTAAAGTTTTTATTTTGAGGTCACGCCAAAGATGCTCGACGGACTAGGTATTTATGCTTCTATTAACTGGATCCACAAAAAAAATAATATTTTAAAAAAATATTTTAAACGTTTATTCTCAATATTAAAAAATAAATTAAAATTTAAAAAAATTATAAAAAATTTCATTTTAAAAAACAATAATAAAATTAAAAAAAATTCATTTAAAAAAAAATATGTGTAAAAATTAACAACCAATGGTTTTCAAATAATAAAAATATCATTTAACAAAAACATATATAAATAAAATTCAATCAATCATATGACAGATAAATATATATAAAAGTTAGCCAATGGTAATTATGGTTCACAAACCATAATCTTACCCTATAAATCTGGATTATTATTCTATAAAGATTAAAAGAAATCATTTAATATTATTTTGTTATTAAAATTATAGAAAGAAAGAAAGAAAGTATGGTCAATAATGGGAGAGTGGTGCTTACAAATGATGTAAAATATTTTGTACAGTAAATACTAAAGATTTAATTATTTAACACGAAAAGACGTTGTAAATTTCCTTATTTTAAAATTTAGGGTAGAAAAAATGTTTGGATTTTTCATGATAAAAATTTAACTCGAAATAAATTTAAAGATTCTGCGCAGTTTGCGAAAAAGGCTCGAGTAATTTTATTGGTGAATAATTTAAATTTACGAGATTATTATTAATTAAACGCAAAATATAGCGTTTGTAAAAATGAGCAAAAAATTCGTAATAATGATAACGATTTATTTGTTCGCGAAGAAATTTCGTAGGAAGATAAACTAAATTTAAAAAGTTTATATAGCGATAAAATATATTGACGTATATGGTGGCTTTTGAAAATGAATGATATATCTATTATATAAATTATTTTATCCTTAGTTGAAATAAATGTGAATAGAATTGGTTTTAATAAGACTATTTATAGGAAAACAAAGAAAACCTGTTTGCAAAAATATTTACCACTTATAAATATGAATAATAATCTTTAAAATACATAGCGCCCTCTATTATATAGTTTTACATTATTTATATTATTATATATTTAAAAATTAGCATTTTAAAGGCTTTTTGGAAAATTTATTCAACAAAAATTTAATATTCTTTTATTTTTTTTAGATAATACAGCTTTAAAAAAAATATATAAAGCAATTTCTCTAATTTTTTATTTTTTTTATTTTTATTTTTTTTTTAAATGTAAACTATTTTATTATTCATTTATCTTTAAAACATGTAAACAAAATATAAAAATAAAAATAAAAAAATGAATATATATATATATATTAAAAGTGAATGTATATTTTAAAAATATCGATGGCTCTAAAAAGAGCTTATAGTAAAAATGTTCATAAAAAACATTGGAGTTTTTGTTTAAGAAAAATTGATTCGCGTTTTTCGTTTGTAAATGTTAAAAAGTTTACGTGCTAAAATTGAAAAAAAAATATATGTTGATTGTGAGAAATTGCCGTTATGACTATGGGTTGAAAAATAAATTTATTTAGTATTGAGTATTTATTAGTTTTTTTATTTTCCCCGCTAGTAAGAGGTTGAATTAATTGATGATATAAAGGAAGAGACGCAGGTTGCGTCACATATTAGGGATTTCCCATTGGACCATGGGTGCAGGTTAAACTGTCAGGTCTGAGACCATCTTGTAAAGAGAGAAGTGTGTGAATGTGTAAGCGAGCATCCAAGTTTAAATCCTATGGTAACTCAGTTGGTCATTGTTTAAGAGATTATCAAGGGTTAGGCTTGGAAGTGCTGCCCGCCGTATTTATCGTTTAGTTGAAGAAGTTGTATATCGCTGATATCGGAAGGGTTATTGTAGTTTCTTTTTCCAAGATTGATTTATTAGAAATTTCGGTTGGGAATGTTTGACCGTCTGGGGTTAGTAGATTCCATTTTTCGATTGCAACTGTTAAGAGATTGTCATTGGGGGTTATAAAAGATGAGATCGCGGAATTGAGCGAAAGGTGATTAGAGATAAAAAGAGATATCGAGAGTAATTCTAAGGGGATCAGGTCGATACCACCAAGAGCGGGTAATTGAGCAAAATGCTAGTTAAAATCTGATAATGGAAGATTAAGGATCCTTTCCATAAAGGTCTTTAAGCAAATATTATGTTGGGTGAAAAATCCTGAGGAGGTGAGATGAGTGGAAGAGGTGCGAGATTTTAGGTAAATATAGGCACTTTTTTAATAGATAAAAAAGTTGTTGCGATGGTATGATTGATGAACTTTTCCAAGTTTTGCAACTCGGATCGATAGTTTTTTCCGAAATTTTATTATTAAGTAGTGGGGAGCCCAAGAGTTGGATATCTTCGATTTCGATAATATTGTAATCTTTAAATGAGTCTAGGGGAATCTCGGGGGTTGAGTATGCAGATATCAAAAATAATCCAGCCACCGCCAAAAAAAAAATGAAAATATTTCTTAAAAAAATAAGTTGCAATTTATTTTTTTCGAATTTAGAAAAAATTGGCCAAAAAAATAAATAATAAATAAAAATATGTTTATAATATGATTTGAATTGTCATAATTATTATTTTTTAAACTTTATTTTGAAGAAAATAATTATATATATATATATATATATAAACTAGAGAATCTACAAATCACGGATCGGTTCATACCCGACCCGGCCCGAATATGTTTTAAAAATATTTTCGGGTTCGGGTTGGGCTTGGCCCAATATATAATTTAAGTAAATTTCGGGCAGGGCCTGGCCCGGTAGTGCTTAAATTTTGAAATATTATATCAATTTTTGGTGCTAAAATTTTTTTTATTCGTAGAATATGCAGATAGAAACCCCGTTTCCCATCCTCATAGGATTTTCCATCCTAAGCTTATCATTCTTTTTTAGTGAAAAAATGAAATGTTTAAATAAATTCGATCAGGCCGGGTAAACAAATAATTTTAATTTTGGTTTCGTGTTGGGTTTTTCGGGACAAATAAAAGAAATTTTGTTCGGAAAAGGGCCGTGTAGGAAAAAATTTTTTAAGAAAAAAAGAAAGAAAGAAATAAAGAAAGAAAGAAAGAAAGAAAGACAGAAAGAAAGAAAGAAAGAAAGAAAGAAAGAAAGAAAGAAAGAAAGAAAGAAAGAAAGAAAGAAAGAAAGAAAGAAAGAAAGAAAGAAAGAAAGAAAGAAAGAAAGAAAGAAAGAAAGAAAGAAAGAAAGAAAGAAAATAAATATAATGGATATATTGGTCCAATAATAAGCTTTATATAAAATTTTATTGTTTTAATTATTAAAACGAGCAAAAATCATTTTTTTAAAGAAGATATATTATATTTAAAATAAGATTTATTTTTCATAAAAAGTATTTTATTTTTGGCAATGTGAAATATTCGGCAATGTATACGTTCCCGGTAGTGTTGTTAACCCATTAATGGTCAAGATTTTTCTAGTGGATAAAAATGCTCAATTTTTTCAGATTATATTGATTAATGCTCAAATATGATATTCTAAAAAAATCAGCCAAAAAAAATAATCCTAAATAGAAAATCTAGCCTGGTGCATATATGCACCGTTAACCATTAAGAAAAAGATAAAAATTATATAAAATACTATAAGATCAAAAAACAACAAATATCTTTATTCTTTTTTTGTAATTTATAATAAAAACGAGAAAATGTTTATATATTATGAAAATCCTTGAAACATTTTATGGAGTGCGATTTGACATGTTTGGCACATATTTATGAGTGCGTATGGCATGGCAATATCTGCATCTTCGTCTTTTTCCATCTATAATTTTGGAATAATGTCCAGATGAATCAATAGGGTTTTCACACTGTAATGCAAACTGGCTGGCGTGACTGTACTTGAATTTTTTTCAATTTTTACTGGCGTTCGAAGGAGGTAGTTAGTAACTTCTCGTCTAAATGCAAGCAAACTCTTCTTGTCATCTCGATTCAAGAATTTACAGATTTTCCATGAATTTACCAAAGCTACATCAATAAAATTGGTGAATATTGGCCACCACCATTTTTTTCCTCTTATTTTTATTCTATATGTAGATATTAGATTATCACATAGATCAATTCCACCCATGTGTTTGTTATAAGCCGTTACCATATTTAGCTGAGGAATTTTTATTTTAGAAGATATTTTCTTAGAATACCCTGAAACATTAGAAAGCAAAAAGATAGTGTGGCATGTCGATGCAACGGTCACCACCGAATTATCATTCCAACGAACTACAAATATTTCGTTTAATTTTTCAAACCTATAATCATAATATCCTCTTTCTTTTTTTGCTACAACCTTTATATATTCAACTGGGCAATGCTCTATTCTATTGTCCCTCACAGTTCCAGTTGCAAAATATCCCATTTGTTTTAAGTATGACAAGAGTTTAAATGATGTAATGAAATTATCAAAATATATTTTATGATAAT